ATTACCTTTGCGGGGAGGAGGGGGGGGGGGGCGCGGTTCGTGCCCCCTTGTTTTCTTTTGCCCTCCTGGGTTTTTGTTTTTCGCGCCCATCGTCAAGTCAATCGTCTAGCGAGCTGACACCCGCTCCCTGTGCCATATGTACGTCCCTGTATATGCTCTCAAGACATTCCTCCCCGTGATCCCGCCTCGTGAGTGTGCTCCCATGCCTTTGCTCCCCCCTTCTTTGGAAAGATCTGCAAAAACGCCCGTCAATTCAAGTCGCCCTTCCCGTTCTCCCCGCGCCCCTGTCTCCGCCTCCCTTGGGTCGCGTCGTCACATCGGCGCGGGCTCGTACTGGTTCATCAGGCTCCAGAAGCTGTCGCCGCCAAAGTCGCCCTCGAACACGCCCGGCACCATCTGCTGCGCCGGCACCGAGGGCGGGCTCCAGGCCATGCCGCCCCCGACAATGTTGAGGTCGTGGGTGATGATGTCGTTCATCGGGAACAGCGGCGCCATGTTGGCAAAGTCAAAGTTGGCCGGCATGGACCAGTCCGTCGGCACCTGGGGCGGCGGCGGCGGGTAGCCCGCGTCGGCGGCGGCGGCGGCCGTGCTGGCCGGCGGCATGACCATGTGCTTGTCGTCCATGTCGTGCACGTCCATGGGCGGGGACGTGTCAAAGTTGGTGAGGCCCGTCGAGACCGATTCGCGCGCCGAGGCCAGGCTGTCGGCCGTCGACCCGGGCGTCCGCGAGAGGCTCGACGTGCTGCTGCGCGGCGGCAGCTGGCTCTCGATGACCTTGCGGAACTTTTTGTAAATGGCCTGCAGCACGCCGCGCGCCGAGTTGGCCAGCCGGTTGCGGTCCGCGATGGCCTCGAACCGCTCCTGCGTCCAGTGAAACTGCTGCATGGCCGTGCTCGCGAGCTCGACGTTCTCCTTGGGGAAGAGAATGTAAATGGAAGCCATGAGCACCACGGCGTCGAAGCTGCCGAAGAAAAGCAGGAAGCTGTCGATGTTGTTGTCAGCTGTCATGATTTGCATGGCGCACCGGGGCGAAAGGGGGGGGCGGCAACCTACTTCCTCCACGCCTTGGAATCCATGCTCTGGAACATCTCCATCTGTGCTTGCAATGTGTCGATGCTGGCGCGCAGTGCGACCGCCCGGCTCTCTTGCCTGTTGAAGACATAGGGTCGATGGAGTGCGATAAAGTTGAAATGCTGAAGTGGATGGATCCAAAATCGGCAGGATTGGAGCCACCAGGAGCAGTCGGGATGGTTGTCCCAGCGCCTGTCCGGGTTGATGAGTCGCAGATAGGCAGGCGTCTCTTCAGCGAGCCTCAAAATGAGGTGGTGGATGCGGTCGACCTTGTCGTAGTTCTTGGGACAGGGCCCATCCTGCTCCAGCTCGATGACTTCTGTCAGGGGACTCAGCAGCTTGAAAGATTGCAGCTGCTTCGTGATGGGCGTCGGGGGGTCGCGCTCCTCATCTCGCAAGACGACCGGTGTCTTTCTTCGGTCCTTCGGTATGGGCGCGTCGATCGGCATGCTGGGCTTTGCCGACGCCGATTTCCAGTGTATGGTGCCTGGTCGGCCCAATACGACGCCACAATGGACGTCCCTAGGTGCGGTCAGTAGGCCGCTGCGCACGAGGGTCGAAACCAGTCCGCGCGCCACTTACCACATCATGAGCACCATGTACACCCGTCGCCTTCGTTGGATGAGCCACTGGTTCTCGAGAATGTCCTCTGTCGAGTCGCTGGCTGGCTGGGGGTCCAGTGCGTCCTTGTGCATGCCAATCTCCTGCGCATCCTTGATCGCGCTCCCAATCGCGTGCCACTTGCAGCATGGTCAGCTGCTGCTCCCGAGACGCCAGAAGAGAGAGAGAGAGAGAGAGAGAGAGAGAGAGAGAGAGAGAGAGAGAGAGAGA